TACTATTTTAAAATACAATAACATGCCAAGTTTCTTAATTTCAAAAGGTTGCCACTGTTGTATTTTACTAACAGGTAATATTCAAGGACCTCCCTGTTTATTTTCCAGCGGAAACATATTATCATGGAATAAATACGGATATCCAACTATCCATAATTCATAATGTGTCAAGTTTGTCAACCGGAACTTCAACTAGGCTATTGTAACGAATTCTTATAATTTCCTACCAAGACATAGATATACTTTAACTGGCTAGCAAATGGGGACTTCTTGTTGGCAAACATTTGGAAGGGGAGATATTTTTCTATAACGATTCCAATATAGAGAGAAATACTGTGTCTTTAACTATGTATTTGATTTCTGAGCAACTATACCCCGTATGTTTGTTAATGAGTAGATATAGAAAAGATTTGATTTCATATATAAATCCGTTTATTATTAGTTTGTGTTTAAACTTGCTAAACAATTTAAATGAAGATACAAATATAATTACTAAATAGTATACTGGTAATTATAAACATTCTATTCATACAATGTTTTGAAACTTTAATTTTATATAAAGGGACATCTTCAAAACTAGACAACGGCAACGCCAAGGCGTGGCAAATCCAATTAAGCGGCCTTGGCTGTCCTCTTTACAAAATTGCTTCACTGCGATTTTAGTAACAGTAAACTTCATATAACAACATTTTTCAAAATGGTCACTTTCTAGCAAAATTGTCAATAAACAATGTACTATGCACATGTCAAATATGAACAAAATCGTTCTATTACCTTTTGAGTTATAGTAGAAAATGTAAAATAACACACGTTTAATTAAATGGCGGCCCTCCAAACTTCCTTTGATGGGACAATGACAGTGGTGACTGGGACAATGAAATGTTGCATGTACTTGGTGGTTAAATGACAATAATTATATGTCGACAAAAAGCAAATCGAAAGTGTATGCATAATGAAACTTGAACGCATAGTCCATCGTGGTCAAAGAGCTCATGCTTATTTTGAGTTATAGTCGTCATCAACTGGACCAGTTTTGTCAGAATCAATCTTTCCGAAATGATGGTAGGCATTTTACAACGTAGACCTCTGGCCACTTCCGTTAATCTTCCCTGCAGCAAGAGCGACTCCAGGCATGGACAACGACCTATCAGCACCTAATCCTGGCATCTTGTCTTCTCCTGCGACTGTGTCCAAGAAACCAAACGCTGCACCAATTGGAGAGAACAACTTCTGGGAAAGACTGTCATCTTCTCTTGATATAAGTATTGCCTAAAGTGGAAATATTTTCAAAATATTCAAGTTAAAGGGTTGTTTCGAACTCATTTTGTTTTTATGAAAGTATTTTGTGTGGTATATCACGAATAAAATCATTATAAAATACCCAATAAAGCACATATGTAGAGAAAACATTACCTTTGGAAGAAATATCAGTAATACAGACGAAATCGTTGTAAATAATATCAGACATCCTGTTAGAATGAACAAAGCATTTGGATCAGTCGGTATCAGGAACGAAATAACAACCAGTACAATGCTGACCAACAAATTTGTGAACACAGATATAGCAAATCCAGAAAACTGATTAAACCCTTTCTTCCTTGACATAACCCTGAAAAAGATGGACAATACATTTTAGGCAATATCGCTACTATTTTAATCAACATAGCCCTTATAGAATGTTCGATTAGTTAGCGATGATTGTTTTCAAATTAATATTTTTTCTGTTTATAGAAGAAGAATAAGGCGACTCACAATGTTGGCCAAACGATGAATCCACCCAACAACAATACAATTGCCTTGTAACACAGTATGGCGATGAGAAAGTATGCTTTATAAACTGATTCGCATTTAACCATTACATTTATTGTTCTCACAGATGTTTCATTATCAAGCTAAAATTATGCAAAATAATAATATACAAAAACGCACTGCATACGTTTTTATGATATATTTTTGTAGTTGTATAGTCTCCATGAATTGAAAATATTGCGAATGTTTATGTAGAATACAATACATTGTATAGGATAGATATTTGAAAACATTTTTGGGAAAACTTAGAGATAACCCGATGTTTTCAATTGCATTGAAATATAAAAAAAACGTTACGATTAAATCTTGTAGTGTAGGTACTCACAGTTGATTCTAGTTCTATAGGCCTTGCATACAAGGGATCTTTGACAAACCAAATAGCAACTACTATGACATCAGCAACAATGAGCATGGTGAACATGAAGACCAACCATGCTTCATTTATTACTTTCTGCGATAAATAGGTAAACATATCTAACGAAAAATCAGCAATCAAAAAGAATACAAGGGGCCAAAAAACAATACCCAAATATAAGGATGCATATCATTTTTAACAAGATGACACAATCTGATTGAAAACCGTAGTTTTCTCCAAATTGTGGAAAATGGAGGTAAATTTGAACTTTGGCACCTTCAAAAGAGGTACATTTATACAAGTATAGTGCAAAATTCAGCGTTAATACTTATATATTTTTAGTTAATCATCAATTGCTTATTACTCTTAAATAAATTTATGATAATTCAGTCAAGCATATTGAGTGCAGCTGTGACTGCAATATGGAGGGAAATTTGGTACTTTCATTATTCGATTTTTGGTCGCTCATGGCACCCCTGGTGTCAATTTTAGTCTGTAACTCCACATGAAAACAAACGTTTTTCAATAGAATGCTGTCATTTTGTTAGGACATGATTTATCTTTAAAATGATATACGATACGTGGCATGGTTTAACATATATCATATGAATCACACATCTTTCAACGTGGGTATTGATTTTTTTGGCCCACAATGTAGAATAATTATCTAAAAATTAGACATTAAGTAACAACAAACTTATTTTTTCCATTACTTGCTATTACTGATTAATTTTTGAGGGTGAATGTTGCTCTGCCTGACACATGCATCTTAGACTTCCAACAACGCGAACGTCAGTTCTGACCTCGCGAACTACTTTCCTTGCGCTCGAACCACGATTCTCACGTCGCGAACGTGAACTCTTTAGTCGCGCACCACCATTTCCTCGCTTCCGGACACATTTCTCCACTCGCGAACAGAGATCCGTGCTTGCGAACAATTCGTACATAGTGCATATTTGGGATTCCACTTGCAAGCAACAACAGGAGTCTGGTTAGTATGATTTCCCACCATACGTTCGTTTATGTTTTTCAGATATTAATTGTATGCCATATAAGAGACCAGTGTTAATGCTACCAGGGGCGATTGGAACTTTAGGGCTTGCTATTTATATGTTTCTGTTTTGAAAATTGTCATGCTATGCTCGTACTTGTAGAAATTATTGTGACTGTCACTCACCATGTATTAGGTAGTAAAAAACTTAAGTTGCAACATTTGTGACAAAATGTTTCTAGTTTCCTGTTGAATGTGAGTCTCGCATCATACGAATGTATTTTTTGGCTGCATCTGTCTGCGGGGGGTGAATTTGGCTGATTTCGAAGGTTTATCGATATTAAACGAATTTTCTACCATTTTAGATGATAAAAACTCCAGTAATCATCATATTGCTGTGGACCAGATACTTTGAATGGTTTGAAAACGATGGACTGGTTAAAAAATGACTGGCCCAAATGTTAAACTCTTCCTCAGCAATCTTTTGATTAAAACTTACATTTTTATGCTGGCTAAAAAACTTGTAAATTCCCCATAACTTTATAGCCATTCCTCCATGCAAGAATGTGGATCCAAATATGAGAAGTCCAGTGGTTGCCTTTGATAAAACAAAATATTTATGTACATGTGTTCAATAATGAGAGTGGTACATGTAAAACACAATCGTGAAGGGATAATGAGTCCACTGCAAAGTCTGTCAGGTAACTATTTCAACTATAATAAGTATCTCATTGTCACCCCGGGTTAGCCTGACTACGGTAAAGTCAGATACCGTTGTCACAAATGGCGGACATAACCGTCGCTTCAATTAGATTTTCATGAACTGTATGTTTAATAGAGCACCTAGACTAAATTCCTTTGGAACAACAATCGATCAAAGAGTCTTAATACTCATTGTACAGTTAATAATGTTCTACCATCGAAATAAAATCTTTAATTTAACCGATTAAAATGAGATACGGGACAACGGGCACTGTAATTACCATATGCCGTTGTCTTTCTAAATTACTCAAATTCAGATTCCGTTGTCATTGACGAGAAGCGACAATGAGTGCATTGCCATCTATATCATATGACCGAGTTATTTACGCTATTTAATATTAACAATATCATATCAACGCATATCGAGATAACCCTGTTAGAAGTGCCTCTTAAACAAAAGGAAGATATAATTCTACATAAGTATATATATTCACACAAAGTTAACAATGCTTAAAATATCATAATCTTATCATATATGCTGCACTTCAATACTTTGTCTCATAAAACTGATTACCTCACTAAGAATTACCTAAAAATAACCTGCCTATTTTACTATTTTAAAATCTAATAACATGCCAATGTTCTTAATTTCAAAAAGTTGCCACTGTTGTATTTTACTAACAGGTAATATTCAAGGACCTCGATTGTTTTGAAGATAGTATCATTGTACATAGTTCAAATAGTATGGATACCCGTGCCAAATCAATACAATGCTTAGCACTAACATCAAATAATTAGAAGAATCATTTGAGTTTTTTTGCAGTGAATTATATCACTATGACTTGATATATAACATTTCACAAGGCAGGGGTATTAATTACAATAATTTAAACCAGAGAACGTAGTTATTTGCCTTGTATTGGACATCGGTGTAAACATATCATTTTTGAAATGGATGAGCGCAATGAAAATCATGTTAGGAGTCACAATAATGATAATATATACCAGTTGACATGGGACCCGGGAGCTCTCGGAGATGATGACGAAGATATTCACTTCTCAAGAGAAAACCTGTCAATTCCCATAGAGTCTTCGCCGCAAAACCGTTTCACAAACAACAATACTATCAAGGAAGGACGGTACAATCATGACCATGTACATATCGACACGTTCAAGGATAACTTAAATGAACTGTATTCACCTTTCCCCAAAGTCAGCTCATGAATATTATAATTAGCAAATCCAGAATCTCTGACGTCAGAGTAGGGCAGATTTTCGCGGCAAAATCTGAACACATTACAAATCAATGTGAATCGCGACAGAGACGGGCTCATTTAATTGTTCAATCATTGTGAGTACTTAATAATCTGTATCATAAATGTGATGGAATTTAATTGATAACACTCTCGTTCATATTCTCCCTTCATTATACTGTTCTGAGAAATCAATTGAAAAGAGTAAAATTGATGTGAAGAGTCCAATGTTTACAGCAAATTGACCATGATATGTACTTCTTGACTGTCAACATACCTCTGACTACTGCACTGAAATAATAAGCTTGTGTTATATTTTCTCATAGTGTTAGGTGAAATAGAAATTAATTGATCAATCAACAGTAAAAACGAGTCATATGTATCGGGGGGGGGGATAAATTATCAAGGTTTTGGCCTACTAGAGTCGGGCATACACTCCAGTTAATTAACAAGTATTGATGTACATCCAGCCAGGGAAATATAAATTAAAGAGACTCTATTGAGATTTCTCTGTGGCATTTTTTCTTTATTCCTTTTTGTTTTGAATTTTTAACACCATAACATTAACAAACTACTCAATATGCAACTTTTCACCGCGTAGAATTTTAAAATATTAAGTTTGAAAATTCCATTTTTATAATGGAGCTCAATGGGAAAAACTACATAATTTGAATTATTTTCAAACGTAGCGGCGCGATTTTGATAAAATTGACAGATATAATAAATATTGGTAAGACAAAATGTTTGATGAAAAATGAAGAAAATTCACCGTCCTGGTTACGCAAACTATAGAAAAATCTGAAATAATCATAAAAACCTGTAAAAATAGATTGAAGGGGGTGATATTCATTTTTAATGTGCCTTTCACTACTACAGGGTAACCATAATTTTGGTACTGATTTGATTTTTCAATGAAAATCATTTCTATAGTGTATAGTCAGTTTAAATAATACAATTGGTATATTTCTTTACTGAACAGTGCAATCATTTATTTATTTATCAACAGTAATGCAAACTACATATTATACAGTTAGTAAAATATTAAAATAATTCTATTAAAATTAAAGCATTGCCAGAATGTGTTGACAGCTGGCAAAAAATTGAAGAATTTGAAGAAAAATAGCCACCCAAAGACACTTACACCTGCTAATTGCCACTTTGCAAAGAGTTTATTCAAGCAAGAAAACTATTTGGAAAAACGTAATTTCGGGTTGAACATGGTACCCACCACTCTGGTTACCTTAGCAACCATCTCTCAAGAACCAATCAAAATTGAGGTCCCAAAGGACATTATACACCCTCCATTGGGATCTCCCCATGAGAAAAAAATAATTCATCTGATTTTTCAAAATGAGTATTCTGCTTTAATTATTACATTTATATGCACACTAGTATCTTGTTGACCTATATTCAGCACTGTATTGATGTATAGGCCACTTATTAGGGTCATAATTCAATCATGAAGTGTAGAGGCATATGATTCCAAACCAGGAAGTATTTTTGTGTCTGTCAAAATCCATTTGCATCCTACGCATCCCTACATCTTATCCAAATATGTTACTACATAATGAAATAAAATAGTATATTCTTTGGTTTTACAAAGTTGAATGATTTTTGATAAGTGTAAAAGTTGTTTTTGGAGCATTTTTCTATAGCCATTTTGTAGGGAAAAAATGATGAAAAAATGTACAATCTTTTAATTTTAAGTATGACTTAAATCGATTGCAAACTTCATATTTGCATATTTGATGAGATAAACCATTAGTGCCATATTGTGAAATTATTAAGTTTGCAATCGATTCAGGTCATAGTGTATTTTGGGTATTTGTGTGATAATCAATAGAAACCAATAGCCTCTATTGGGATCTGCTGATATCCTCATGTTAAGTCAATGAAGCACAGCCCCATGTAAGGCAATACAACCTTACTAAACTAAATGGCCCCTATCTCAGTCTATGTGTGCCCGAGCATTTTAATATTTTCCAAAGAGTTATATGGCATTCTATTCTTCATGTTACACCTAACAATTATTCATTTTGACCATAGGGGTATTTGCCAATAATCACACCTCTTCCTTTTAACATATAATGTATAAATGTATAACACATATGTGTACCAAGTTTCATTGTAAAAGTCCTATTTTCCTTTAAGTTATGGCATCAACTGCAACACTTTTTGAACCACCTAAGTATATACCTTATTAGATGCAGTGAAGGAGTTAAATCATTGGGATATGAATAAATCATGCAAAACATATTTTGTACATATAACTCATCATTTAGTGTTACCCAGTAGTTTACAAGCTGACCTTTGCAAAATATATTTCACTTACTATCCTCATTCGCTATCACGCTATCTAGTTTCTTTCCAAATTGGCCTGGATTGCCTGGTTTATTGGTTTTAGCGAACCGTCCATTTCGTCGAACCATCATTTTGCTAAGGTTGTTTGTGATAAATATACAATATTCAGTTACATATAACTGTACAGCAACTTTATGCAAGGGAAGGTAATTGTGTGAGAGCACATAAAGTACATGAAGTATTGGCCCACTTGTCTCAGTGAATCTTATAAACAGTGCATAAAGTTTTTTCTATGCAATGATTGGCTCACAGTTACTTATAGTGTAAGTTATTTCATTTCTATACAGTGTGGAATAGAGTGTATAAACTTTTACAGTTTCAAGCAGGTTTTAGTGTTTTCTGACCAATGATATATTCAGACTTATTCATTTCACGATTATGTAATACTGACCTACATATCTGTATAGCATATCTTTAAAATGGGGAGTTTGAACAAGAGGCTCAATTCGGGACTTAATTAACGCCAGGGGGGGGGGGGGCTTAAAGAAAACTTTTTCGAGTCGTGAATCAGTGCTTGATAATAATTGATAAAAGATTTGCTCGATCCACTTGGCGTGGACTTAAATATTTCCCCATTCCTTGGCCAGAATGATCAGATTGATGCCCATGATGTGTATCAAACACAGCAGATTGCCGCAGAAAGAATGTGGAACGTAGTATTAATAAAGTGAAAAATAACCACATCTTTGATCGAGCAATCCCGATCAATCTTTTCGGATCTATCAATCAAATCTGGGCTAACAGTGCGTTACTTTCCCTTTTTCAGCCACCTATTATTTCACAAGACAATGTTACTTTTATGTCTGCCGAAGAATTTAATAATGGTTACATAAGTGATGATTAATTCCATTGAACAATACTAAAGTTGTTTTATTGAGACAAAGTTTCTTGCTGTTTTTCCACGATCGTCTATTTGAATGAGGTTTACCTCTTAAAAAGCCCATGGGCGTTCTTTTTAAATATAGAACTGCTGAGAGAATATTCACGATATTTATGGACGTAATACCTCCGAGGGAGAAGTTCTACCCGGTAATTCCATTTGCAATTTTAAAAAATACAAGCTATGATGTTTGACTATTCGATACTTCAAATTGCATCTAAAATAAATTAATTGTTCACGACCAATCATGAGTTTGGAAATTATTTATTAGGTTTGTGCAAGCATGAGAAAAATATCATTAGCCTCTGTTACATTACAAACTATTCTTCATATGTTATATATTTATTAGAAACATAATAATGTATTTGAATATTTATGTTAAATGAGTATTCCTATAATATGTACAGTCTTGATGTCTGAATAATTGTTTGTCTTTTGTACGGTAATTGGATTCGATTTATTAGAAGAGACCAGCACTTATATCACAATTATTCCTATGGTTTCATTTATCGTGAAGTGTATTTAAGACACAGTTGAAGACAAAATAGTCAGAAAAATAAATTTCAATTAGTTTTGATATCATTTTAGATGAGATTTATTTTACTCATTGGTTGATCTAATAGTAAATGAAGTTTTCGCGCGAAAAGTGCCCTGCTTTGACGTCATCGATTTTTACCGACCAATCAGCGCAGCGGTCAAATGAGTACACTTTGGACTTTGGGGAAAGGTGAATAACGAGAGTGAGTATGCCCTTGACAGTAAGCCTATGGACGATGGGGATACTTGGGACGACGACGTATTCACGGGCAGGGGTCTTTTTGAAGGGCAGAGTACCTCAACTCTACACAGTCTGGAAAGGCACATCGCTGACATGGATTCGATGAGTAGCATAGAAAGACTTGATCTTAGTTTACAGGTGTCTGAAAATGCAACGGAAGACACTAGAATACAACTTAAGGCTACCCCATTCAAAGGTGGTGTGATCTTAGGTACTGCCATGAAAGAAAAGGTTAAGGGTTCGGTATCAAAAATGGTTATGCAAAGAGAGGTACAGAGTCATGATAAGGCACTTCTTTCAGGCAACGATCAGACTGGTGAAGTTGAGGATAGCATAGTGGAGGATAATACAAAAAGTGGTAAGCAATAATAAAGAGCATTTCGGAAAGCTTAATGTCATTCACAATGATTGCATGTAATTAATTTTATATTAAATTATATTTTATATTTGTAATCATTCTCATGTTTTCCTTTCCATTTTCTCTATTGTTTCGAAAAAAGTCTATTCACATGCACGATCATGTTATTCAAACGTTCTGATTCGAACGCAAAACTTTCAGATCAAGAAGGGACATTATAAAATTCTGATCAAATGTGAAAGATGGAAGTCATGAATCGAAGTGAAACGCCTTCGAACATTCGTCTGGACTTCATCGTATCTTTTATTTTCTGTCGTTAATATCGTTAAAGCCGCCGTTTTGTGACCTGCGTTTGGCGTTAGTAATTTCAAAAGTGAGAACTTCAATGGGGGTTAAAGCAGACCCGATGATATCGTGAGCTTGCTCGATGGTATCATGGCTGTGTCAAGAGGCTCAATGTATAAGCGAGCTCGGCGGTATGTTCAGTTCAACGTTGATCCTCAAATACCCACGGTATCACCGTGTCTGCTTTACCCCCGTGACTTATAAATGCAATCAGGTGATAACATCTTGCAATGCTAATGACCCGGATGGATGTTGTATTTTCAGATGCCGCTGCGAGATTCATTCCAACCTCAAACTTCATACACTTAGGATATCATGAATACCAGAGCGCCGACAGTGTCAAACCCATCATCGGTCCCCGGTTTTCTTTAGTGGATACATTGTGGTTTAAGCTACACTGCACGAAACAAAAATGTATTGTGATCGTTGGTGCTGTGATTTTTATAGTGACGTTAATTGTTGTAACACTGGCTGTCGTTTTATCAAGACATTGAAGATCGGTGTTTATATTTGATTTATATTAACTCGTATTTGTTCACATTTGGCGTCGAATTACGGACCTTGTCGCTAGCGACATATGATGTTGAGAGTACAAAATAGAAATTGGAATTCAATGAAAATACCCCACATATTTTAGGTACCGTACTCAAATCATGCTGCATGTTCACGCTGCATGTTGCTGCATGTCCAACATGTTGTTGTTTGTTGTTTTTTGAAGTGGAGGGGAGCTTTAATTGTCGTTTGTAGAAATTTACATGCAGCCCTTACATAGAAACGTGTAGCAATGCTATTCCAATTCATCTGAACAAAAATTAAGTTAATTGAATATATTCTAATTTAATATCATTTGATTTCATTTTGATACAAAAGATGAGACTTATGAATGTTTTGAGAGAATTATCAACATACGTACTTGTCTATAGGAATGGAAAGGATTTCGTAAATGTGGATTATCTGGGTATGATAATCGGGGCAGCCAATAAATGCACCCATGACGTGTTCGGCATTTTGGACCTTTGGTATATTTCCCAAATAGATTACTATCTGAACAGTGCCAGTATCCATTCATACAATGCAAACCACATCCCAAGTGGTTACCATGAGGTTTATCCCATGTACTGAATTGCAAATTATCGGCACTGCCCAAGGCATCGCCAAGAGATCCCGAGTACTCAGCTACTGTTAACCTGTAGTTATCAGATTTATCCGAAATGTTGAAGATTTTGTAATCAGCATGCCTTGTTTTATTGTACCAGTCAGTAAGTTCAATTCGCAATGTGTATCGACCTTGTCTCAAGACAGATATAATGTTTTTGAAGCCAATGAAATGTTCTTTACTGACATCACCGAATCCATTTTCAAAATTTTGCCATGTTCCACCAAAGTCCACCGATCCATCAAACCTATAAGCTATATGTAATCCTTGGTTTTTACAAAGCCCTCTAAATTGTCTCCCGTCAGCAGTTCGAATAGTGTGTACACCATCAGTCAACCCACTGCAGTCTTCAGCTGAAAAACAGATGGTGAGTGGTCTAAATGGTTATGCTACATGAAAGCTATGCCCTTATTTACAAATAGCTTTATCATTTGAACTACCAAACGTTTTCAGGAATCTCAGTTTTCTCACCTTTTGACGGTATTGTATATGTAATACAGAACTTGGCTCGGCAGCCCTTGTCCACCCAAAGTACCATCGGAACTTCATTGGTGTCCATTCCAAAAGACATACCTTAAGTCATGGACAATTTCACAATTCGTATATGTACCTATTACAGAGTGTTAGTACGAGGGTTGTCCCATAAGTCCTGAGTACCTGGGTACCCTGCATCATGCAAGTTTGGGCATGAATTACTTTTTTACAAGACATTGTATTTTTAAATTATGTACATTGATCAGAAAATTCCCATAGATAATACCGATGAAATATCAGTCTTTATCAATACAAACTCTTGGTCTTATAATAATTAGTTCATGACTAATGGGACAACCCTCGTATTATTTTGATGCAGGATATGATTGAATGAGATTAGAAGAAAAATCCCAGGGAAACAAAACTTGCGTAATATTATGTAAGTCCCTCTACTCGCAAGGTCGATTCGTATGTGAAAGACTATAAAGACATGCAAAGGGAAGTAAGATCTCAAACATGACTCCAGAGGGGGAGAAACACCAGGGTTCAAAGATGACATACGCTTATAATGTAAATCTGTATTGAGATGACACGGTGGTCGCTGATTGGTCAAAAGTCGACAAACAAATGACGTCATCAATGGCGGTTTCAAAATTTTCGAAATACGCTTCGAACAATATTATGTTCATTTCTGGCGTGTTAACCAATATCATAGCTTCTCATTTCACATCAAGATAAAGAAAGGTGTACGGAATATGCCTATATCAATTATAACATCCCATCGAAGTGTAGAATTTGATAATTAGCCGATGAAAATTCGAACGAACGAAGGTGGTAAGCAAGAGAGGTAATTATGTCTGTCATCTTGAAACTCTGGGGCTTTCCCTCCTCTTACATGACTCCTATAATTACATCACTGGTGATCCGCTCGATTACGCTGGTTACCGAAACGGTTCGTTTTGGTAACAAAATGTCGGAACGTCGAAGGTACGATTTTTCTTTTTTCCTTATTTCACGCGTTGTAGGCAGAATCCCCACGACGTTTTTTCTCACAAACGTATATCAGCATCATATGTTTTAGAAAATGCAAATGTTTGCGAAAAAATAGCTCAGAAGACAACAGAATCGTCGATTTAATTCCTCACTTAAGTTACATAAACGGTTTGGGTTAAAAGTGCAGATCTTAACCGTTTTTCGAAAACCGTTTATGTAACTTAAGTGAGGAATTAAATCGACGATTCTGTTGTCTTCTGAGCTATTTTTTCGCAAATATGTACATTTTCTTAAACATATGATACTGATACACGTTTATGTTTAAAATGTCGTGGGAATTCTGCCTACAACGTGTGAAATAAGGAAAAAAGAAAAATCGTACCTTCGATGCTCCGACATTTTGTTACCAAAACTAACCGTTTCGGTAACCAACGTAATCGAGGGGATCACCAGTGTACATGATCAGTTTGAAAATCAATTACAATACATGCTCACCTCGTGTACAATTTGATTTGGAAAACTTTTTCTCTACGCTGACAGATTTCACAATTGCCCCCTCGTCAAGTTTAAGTTTACATTTCTTATGTGCGTATTTCCAGCTGTTGCATTTCTGGCCACACATGCTTTTGGTTACTACAAAATTCAAATAAAACTAGCGTACATCTGAACATGAAATATATTTGGTAACTACAAAATTCAAATACAACTAGCGTACATCTGAACATGAAATATATTTGGTAACTACAAAATTCAAATACAACTAGCGTACATCTGTACATGAAATATATTTGTTAACTACAAAATTCAAATACAACTAGCGTACATCTGTACATGAAATATAATTGGTAACTACAAAATTCAAATACAACTAGCTTACATCTGTACATGAAATATATTTGGTAACTACAAAATTCAAATACAACTAGCGTATATCTGTACATGAAATATATTTGGTAACTACAAAATTCAAATACAACTAGCGTACATCTGTACATGAAATATATTTGGTAACTACAAAATTCAAATACAACTAGCGTATATCTGTACATGAAATATATTTGGTAACTACAAAATTCAAATACAACTAGCGTACATCTGTACATGAAATATATTTGGTAACTACAAAATTCAAATTCAACTGTCTAGCGTACATCTGTACATAAAATATATTTGGTAACTACAAAATTCAAATACAACTAGCGTATATCTGTACATGAAATATATTTGGTAACTACAAAATTCAAATACAACTAGCGTATATCTGTACATGAAATATATTTGGTAACTACAAAATTCAAATACAACTAGCGTACATCTGTACATGAAATATATTTGGTAACTACAAAATTCAAATACAACTAGCGTATATCTGTACATGGAATATATTTGGTAACTACAAAATTCAAATACAACTAGCGTACATCTGTACATGAAATATATTTGGTAACTACAAAATTCAAATTCAACTATCTAGCGTACATCTGTACATGAAATATATTTGTTAACTACAAAATTCAAATACAACTAGCGTATATCTGTACATGAAATATATTTGGTAACTACAAAATTCAAATACAACTAGCGTACATCTGTACATGAAATATATTTGGTAACTACAAAATTCAAATTCAATTATCTAGCGTACATCTGTACATGAAATATCTTTGGTAACTACAAAATTCAAATACAACTATCTAGCGTACATCTGTACATGAAATATATTTGGTAACTACAAAATTCAAATACAACTAGCCTACATCTGTACATGAAATATATTTGGTAACTACAAAATTCAAATTCAACTATCTAGCGTACATCTGTACATGAAATATATTTGGTAACTACAAAATTCAAATACAACTAGCGTACATCTGTATATGAAATATATTTGGTAACTACAAAATTCAAATACAACTAGCGTACATCTGTACATGGAATATATTTGTTAACTACAAAATTCAAATACAACTAGCGTACATCTGTACATGGAATATATTTGTTAACTACAAAATTCAAATACAACTAGCGTACATCTGTACATGGAATATATTAGTTAACTACAAACTTCAAATACAACAAGCGTACATCTGTACATATTTTGGAACTACAAAATGCAAATACAACTGGCGTACATCTTTACATGGAATAGATTTAATAATGTTCAGACCCATGTCTCCATGATCATCAAAACATAATGGTAATGAAATTTTATGTTTCAAAATAGTTCGATTAAATGTAATTAACTCCTGGAACATGATCAACTTTATTGTAAAACCAAATCTACTTAAAACGATTAAATCGAGAATGGACTATCTGATGGATTACTTTGAAGTTAATAATGATTTATCAACGGTTTTATCAATTATATTCGAATGGAAGATTTCTTATTCAAGTTACAAAAATTAAAGAATAAAACACATTATCCAAGACTTACTTCCATGTCCTGATTCCTTTGTTAACGTAGTCTCGTACTGAACTGAAAGAGATGGGCAATTTTAGGAAATACATACACTCTGTCCTCCAAATGTTTTCATCGGGGAGTTTCAATGTATAAAGAGTGGTATTGGGTTTGCATACATCTCACTGGCGGTCCAAGGGGCATGCCTTGGGCCCAAAAATCTTGTAGGGCCTCGGTTATTGGGCTGTTTAGGCATTACTTGGTCTCTTTGGCTTTTAGGCCAAATTATCAAAAATGGCACTAATTAAATGATCAAAATTTCCCAATCATCGTCGGTTCCCACGCTCAATCACTACGTTCTATGAGGATAGGTCCGAAGTTTGATGAAGCTAGATGAAACTAACTGGATCACAATAATAGTCATACATTCTATTAGATTATTTAACACGTCATAAAATTTTTGTGAGCATTATGCAAAATGATGTAAAAGATGTGTTGTAATACGCTATAATATATATATAAGCCTCAACATAGGAATCCGATCTTATCACATAAATTAAAATTGTGCTATAACCAAAAATGTGCCGTAGATTAAGAGAAAATTGTGCTAAATTCAAATCCGTCTATTTAGTCTATATCTGTATGGCAAAATTATTACACACCTGTAAGCCATGACTCATTTGAAAGGTCTCTTTATGCTTCTTTTTAAGATAATACAAAAAGTAAAAATATTGAAAAAACATGTGATAAGACCCCATTTCTATGGCCTGGGTCATATAGTATATTAAATGCAAAACAATGCAATTATTCTTACCAGAAGATATATCCTCTGTTTGATGCTCTGTCGGAATTTGAGTTTTATGAACGGACATAACACATCGATTTTCGTGTTTTACTTCTTTCGTCAATATTGTCTCGAGAACGTGCCCCGTTGAGGATTTATGAGGATAAGGAACATCGCTGCAGTTCACGGGAGTCTTGTTCCTCGTAGCTAGGATAGAAGCATAATATATGGAGATTAAGATACACGTCTTAAAAATAACTTTTACGTGAACGTGTAATAATTTGACCCTCATGAATTCGTCCCCATCTTAACTGTTTTTTAAGAACCTTATCACAATTATCTTCCGTATACCTTTATACTCAATCCGACAAATACTGTAACAACTACGAACGGGAGAACTAGTCCCTATATGACGACGATAATCTTACACGTTTACGAGGATTGGTACAAGGTCTCCTAAATACCCTAAATACGTGTAGCTTAACCTCACTAATGACGTTATTTTTACGATGTACCATTCTGTTTAAAATGTATTCTTTATTGATTCTTGAAAAGAACCCATGCCTCTTTTCTACCTTGTTCGCTTGATCGAGGAATTTCCGTAAAAACAATTAACCAAATGTATACGTTTTATGTATTGTATGGTCACAAAGAAAAAAATACTTTCAGCATTATCACTGGGGGGTATCGTGATGCAACAACACCGTGTTGTTGCATCAAGATGGCCAGACTTCCGGTGATAGATTTTCGTACGATGTTTTGTTTTCCCAATTTACACCCATTTCTAGGACGAGTTGCTCAATAATCAAACACATGCAGTTAGGTTATGATCTGTATTTTAAAAAACTGTCATTGGTATACATGTAGCATCATCAAGAAGCGATAAATTCGTGGTTTTAATTCCTCACTATTGATGCAACAACACCACTCTGTTTCTTATCGATGATGCAACAACACCAATGTGCTGATGCAAAAACGCCAATATAATGTATCATTGAACAACAAGAGAAACTGTTTTATGTTCTGTTTACAGGTGTAGGTCGGGACATGAATAAAACGCGTGAGTCAGTGGTCCATGAACGAAGCGTATTTTGTTTGGTTTCTTTGTCTATATCAAAGTTAAAAGGATATACAAGGCAAACTAAATAAAGTACTGAATCCCCGGGAGGCAATCTCATTGATATTGTATCTGAAAAATAAAGATTATACATTTTCTAAATTAAATGCCCTTGATTTACCGTAAGGAAATTGTTTACAAATAACTAATATAATTTTGGAAAGACAACAGATATCAGTCATTTTGTGTTGTTAGTAACTCAATTGAAATACTCAATTCTGATTGGTTGATGAGCGGTCAACAAAATGTATTGTTAGTACCTCAACTGAAATACTCGATTCTGATTGGGTGATTATTGGATGAGAATGACTTTACTAGGCGACAAGTATAGCAAAAATACAAATAGAAACTTAAAATTAACATTAATTCACTAACGAGTACGCCGTGATGTGCCAAATACAGAGTTAAGCTACTTGCACTGTCTCCAGATTTTCTAAAAAAAAATATTGCTAACGTGGTTCGGAGAAAAGGTTGTGAAATGAAGCCATGCCGATTGATGATTGTCGTCTATATGTGTATTATTAGTTTACTCGGACTAACAAAACAATTGTAGACCTCTCCATTCGATCAACCGTCAAAATCATATACCTCGACTGTAAACCTTGAAACTACTGTTGACCTCGACCTTCAGTCTCTGTCAACAGTAGTTTTTCGGTTTACAGTCTCGGTATACAATTTTGCCGGTTGACCTCTGGGGAGGTCAACAATTGTAAACTGTTGACCACTACTAGGTACTGTTGACCCCTATTTTTGAAAAATTGTTTTTTAATGTTGAAATTTTTTTAATTTTGAAAAACTAAGTTGTGCAAAAATTACAAGTATTCGACGGTTTTGGGATTTTTTGCTAGAATATGATACCTTTACTTATAAAATATGTTCACGTGATATTCGATTATATATTCGTCCAATTATTATATTATTTGGACTAACAGAACAATTGTTAACCTCTCTTTTCGGTCAACTGGCAAAAGTGTCCTCGACCTCTGGTCTTGATCAACAGTACTTTCAAGGTTTACAGTATCGGTGTACAATTTTGCCAGTTGACCTTAAGAGAGGTCTACAATTGTATATTATTTCTTTCAAATTATTATATTCTTCGGACTAACAAACAATTGTTAACCTCTCTATTCGGTCAACTGGCCAAAGTGTATACCTCAACAGTAAACCCTGAGAGTACTGTTGACCTCGCTCGACCTCCGAACTTTCAAGGATTACAGTATCGGTATACAATTTTGCCAGTTGACCTCAAGAGAGGTCTACAATTGTATATTGTATATCCTTTGTTATCCCACCCAAAGTATGATGTCATATATCAAGTTGAAGAGTTGTATACGCTGCTCAGGAGTTTACGCTATCCAGGAGTTGTACACCGTTCTCAAGAGTTGTATAGGATGAGTATTGGTTTAATGATATTGCAGTTGCTATTATATAGAGGTTATTTACTGAGAGGGATTCAATATTGGTTTTATTCCGAGAGACAATATGATATTTCCCGAGGGCCCGGGATATCTGGGATAACTGTACCCCTATCAATTTACCTTTTTGGGCCCTTAATCTTATCACTTTTGTTTACCTTTTTACTCAGTCGGAGAGAAGGAATCCAAAGAGAGCAATAATTCTACATGTGCGTCGTTCAAGATTTCCATTAAACGTGTAACTAAACGGCTTCTCTAATAAAGTCACGTTTTTACACGTTGGCTCTCCAAATTGGAGGAAATAAAGAATCATATCATATTATATCATAGATGAAACAATCATCCCATCAACATAAGCTCACGAATGTCACAGTGAAACTGTTTTAGTTATAATTTGATAAACAGTGGTAACGTAAATCTACTAGTTTATCACTGTTCCACAGATGGATGACAGATAATTTCCAATAGCTCATCATATTTACCGAGAACGAAAGATGTTTGTCCACCATTTTGAATGATACTAACTGGAGTCAGGGTCATCAAGCTATGGAATAGTGGTTTATGAAAATAGATTGGGTTACTAAAGCTTGCCATGTTAAAGGCGATTGAACTATGTTATAGAACAACGTCCAAAACGTTATAATGTTTAAAAGTATAAATTTTTTGAAAACACATATAAATGATCTTCACCCGCAGGAAGTGTATTTTGAATGCCTTGAGAAGAACGCAAATATGGGTAATGGGTAACGGTATCGCAATAGTAGCATTTAAAAATCTGTTCCACTCGAGATTTATGGTCTTCTGAAATTATACTATTAATTGGTGTTGCTGCATCATTCCTCAAATCTAGAGGAGTGTTGTTGCATCTTCGGTTTGGTGTTGTTGCATCAATAGTGAGGAACTAAAACCGTGAACTTATTGCTTCTTGGTGATGGTACATGTATACTAATGACAGTTTCTTTAAATATAGATCGTGCGCTAACTGCACGTGTATGGTTATTGAGCAACTCGTCCTAGAAATGGGTTTAATTGGGGAAACAAAATATCGTACGAAAATCGATCACCGGAAGTCTGGCCATCTTGATGCAACAACACGGTGTTGTTGCATCACGATACTCCCCAGTGATTATGTAGTTACTCTGTCATTGTACAGGGTGTTGTACATTGTACAGGGTGTTGTACTCATTGTACAGGGTGTCCAGAGAAATTGTACTGAATGAAGCAACCAACTCTGAGTGATGAAGGAATATTCTTGAAATCTGGATATTTTACAGAAATATCTTACAGAAAATTTAATCATCACAAAGTGCGCGTACTATTACTTGTTTCAGTACCATCACCAATTTTCCATGTTTGGAATTACATTAAGCTTCGCATCAATCATGGAAAAGGGCATTTAGAGCGTGTCGTCTAACATGTCTAGTTTCCAAGTAAGTAATTTACATGTTTTATATACTTTAACCGCTTGGTGGAAATAAAGGTTCTTTATCATGTGAAATGTTCAATTTTTCGGTGAAAGAAATACTATAATTATACCCGTCTCATTTAAGTACGTACAGTTTTTTGGGACACCCAGTACTCAAGATAAAAAAGTGTAAATTCTATGTAACTCCACGCCATTTTGGAAGTATCGATATCCATTGTGAGTTTCAACACGATAAGCTATACTACTAGTAGCATAGAAATAACAATTGAGCAATAATTGATTAAAAATAAAAGTTAGTACTCACGTGCATTGAAAACAAATTTTCCTTTTAGTTGTCCTGGTATTCGATCTCTTGTTAGTTGAAGACAGTGATATCTCGCTTTTTGGCTGAATGATACAAAAAAATATTTTGTCAACGTCTAGATGCGGTATAAAGTCATGGTTTATACGTTTGTTGTTCAACATGTCTGATCAAAACTATAATATTTTCCTCGAAGTAAGATGTCAAGGATTATAAACTGATCAATCCTACCTTCCGAAAAATCAAGAATTCGAACCATAGGCCTAGTTCTCAACACAATTTTCAAAATGTCGGACTTTATTATTAAAGCTGGACTACGCTCCGAAACGCAATCTTGGGTTGTTTCGGGGGTGAACTTTATCATTTCGTTTGAGCTTAATGAAAGATTATAGAATGATGAACAAATGGGGCAAATCTTGTGTAGAAATACTTACGATAAATGTGTCATTTCAAAGATTTTTCATTGAATTTGCTTCGATCGGTGCCGGCGATATGATTTTGGAAAGGTTTCTAAATGAAGAACGTGACGTCACTTCCGAATCATAGCATTCAAAATAAGTAGCGTTAAATTACTTCCTCCTTTCATAATAATACGTTGGTGTAGCGGGTAGAATCCTCGCTGAGCACGCGGGAGGACCGGGTTCGAATCCCGCACTAGCCTTTTTATTTTTTTAACTAAATGATTGTTCTTTGATATTACGCAGAAAAAAACAATTTTTATTTACATAAACTTTATATTAGAGCTTGAAAATGTAAAAACAATATATGTCAACATATTGCGTTTCGGAGCGTAGTCCAGCTTTAACAGGGTCAAATGTATGACTGACCTAAATCATATTTTTCATATGCCATACCCGGTTTTAAAACAAGCAAGTAGTATTCTAATACTGTATCAGAGGTATATAAAGTTCAAGAGCGCAATTTGTGATCGAAAACTGCATCTTTTAATTACATCATGTAACATTTATAGTTTTATCTCTTGCATTGTTTAGAATTATATACAAATCCCTTGTTGCCAGGGTAAATTTAATTTGTGACTGAGTCTGATTAATTTTGAAATTAATTTCGTGCCTCGCACGTGTCAACATATTCATTAGCCATTCGAAAAATGACAAAAGCCCGAGTTTTATGCCTTCCGAATGTAACCCTTTGTGTAAATGATAAAATGTAAACATATCTCATGCATTAACGTTATCTTACCGATGGTTTAGATTGTGCCTGAAGAAAATCGTCATTGCATTGTTGGTGCAATACGCCTGTTCAAATGATAGTTTCTTCCGTGTTAACCCTAAAATAGAAGTTTTACAATATTAATTTCGTAAATGAAAAATTCCAATGAAAGAGTACTGATTCTGATGGAGCATTCAGTATAAGTTGAAATAACTTTGGACTGTAGTGTAGTCTCGCTCATTAATATACAAACATTATCGAAACGGGAATGTCTAATCCATGTTCTAGATTCAAAAAAAAGAAAATGCTCTTACTTTTAATTGAGTCGCAGGAAAGAATATGTGAATGAAACAACGAACTCTTTCAAATATCGCACCAGAAGAAAATTAAAAGCAACAACTTACAGAGGGCAAACATTTGGCGATCGGCAAAGCCGTATAATTTATGTGGCTGTGGTCCAGTAGCTAAGATCCCATCCTTTTCGATCGTTACCTTACGCCCACGAATGGCCGAGCTACGGAATATCCCGATGAAGTCCGAAGGTGGCTCGGTACATTTGTCACCATGCATATGTCTAACACCAGCGCATATGGCAATAGATATAACTGCAATGGAAGCTTGCAGCAGGAAAGATTCGCCTACGAATACAAATAGAAAAACACCATCCAATGTTCAAAATTGGCAATTTCATTGATGGGTACAGCACTCCGGAGATTGGATGGTCGAGGAAAAATATTTGATTATAGGAACAAGAATATCAAATCATCAACTTAAAAAGTTCACCAAAATCTATTACGAGTCGAGTTTAGGGGAACCTTTTCTTTTATTTGCCATGGTCAGCTGTCTGACCGGAAAAAAAGATATCTTGTGGTGACATTGCATGTTCTAAAAGATCAAGTTAAAAAAGTTGTGCCAGGAAACTTTAACCCGAAAAATGTCGGTGAATTTTTAATTGATTGATTCATTCATTGAAATTTGAGAATAGATTGAGCCTAACGATTCTATGTTGATTTATAGCCTGAAAGGGCTTTTTTCTATTACCCTTCACCCCCGCCTTCACCGTCATCATTCCGACGATCAGGTACTTTTGTTCTTCCTAAGAGTAATTTTGCACTTCAGGCCAGTTAAAACAACAACAACAAAAAACAAATAAATTGTGTTGGCAAGGATATATTAATGACGTCATTTCTAAAATACATCACGTCACCATTCCCCTGGCATCATTCATAGCATTCAGCCTAAAGCCAGGTTTACACCAATGGGGCAAGTTGGGACCTCCAAGACTTAACATTGCGTGGGACCTCGTGGGACCTTTTGGGATTTTCCCCATGAAAACTATGGGACTCCGTGGTATTTTGCCCCATCTTGCCCCATCGAGTCCAACGAGGTCCCATGGGGTCCCATGAAGTCCCACGTGGGACTCGGTGGGACTCGATGGGGCAAGATGGGGCAAAATCCCACGGAGTCCCATGGAGTCCCATCGAGAATGAACATGTTCATTCTTTCCATGGGGCATCGTGGGATTTTCGATCATATGATGACGTGTTGTGTGAAGCCCGACATATAGGCTTACCAATGGGGCACGGTGGGGTTTGATGGGACTCCACGGGCTTGATGGGACTCCATGGGGCACGATTGGGCAAAGTCGTCAAGGTCCCATGGGACTTCGTGGGATTCGATGGGGCAAATTGGGATTCGATGGGGCAAGATGGGACTCGATGGGGCAAGTGGGATTTTGCCCTATTGGTGTATACCGGTGTGACCGGCAGAAATGATGGTCCCCCAGGGATTATGGTCCCCTTTCTTAGCGGCCCTTACTGGCCCTGATTGCGTATAAGATAATGAGGGAAAGAGTTATATTTAGGTCACCATATAAATCAATGGAGAGTAGGACCATAATTTGATAGGACCTCCTACCCTTTTACACCGGGCTTAATCAGTCGATTGATGCGATCGGACGTTGTATGTCATATATTTTAAGTGTGTCTCCGGAACAAGCTAATTTTACACTCGAGATTCAATAATCAGAATAAGCAGTTTCTAGTCTATATACATGTCTACATCTACATCATATACATGTACATGCGAAATAGACTTGCTGGCAGCTGAGTGCGTGCCTTCGTTCGTTTTTTGACGTTCGGTAATTCAGTCTTGTATTGAAAACGAGGCCAATTTTTCAGTTTTCAAAATTTTCAAAATTTGTTTGTCGATTTTCAATGAAATTATGTAGTTCTGTTGATATTAGCACTGTTTAACTTAATTTAACGACGAGGATATATCTCAAGGTAATCTTTAAAACAAATATTCCATCTTAATGCTGGTGAATTAGTGAATGTACTAAAAATAATTTTCAATAAAATATTTTATATCAATTATCGCCCACCAATCCAAATCATAAATGAGCATTATTCAAAGCTGTGTTTATTGTTTTACAGGTTCACCCTTAAGGAGAAACTAAACAGTGGTTTTAAATTATGCCTTTTGGGAAACATTCACCGTTGACCTGTTTGGTGGAGTTTGATGGAATCATCAAAGGGCAGCTCAGGGGAAACATTGTCACTGAAATGCTGAAGTATGTTCTTTACCAAAGACAACAGATACCTCAGACATATGAACAATTAAAACAACAGGAACAGTTAAAACAACAAGAACAGTCCAAGCAAGATAAACAACAAGAAGGTGAAACACTTCAGTTGAAGAGAAAGGGACCTCAAAAATTACAAGTCAGGAAACTCAGCGAGGCTTTAGAAAATATTGAGGCCCTGTTTCATAACATTAACCAAGCATTCAGCAATGTGAACTACATAAATCAAGTAGTTATAACGCTCGGAGGTACTCCAATCAGTCCGAAAGAGACTTATATTATAAAACTCCCAGGTGGAGTATTTGAGGGGTCTATCCTCTCTAAGAAGGAGGTTATCCAGACACTTTTCAGAACATTGATTTCGCAAGATTTACTTGGAGATTTCCGTAATATGTCAACTACAAACTCATATGTATTATTACAAGCCCCGAGAAATAGTGAAATGCAGTGGTTCGAACCTAAAGCAGCATACAAACTACCAAATCGTGGAAAAATAATTGAAGTTAGTTTAGTATGTAATCAAGGGAGCAATGCACTGGAAGCAGACCTAACTAATGTGAGTTCCAGCGATTTTGAAATATCAGGGATCTCTCCTCTAGAAATCTCCACTGTGAGTACAGAAGGCACACTATGTAACAGCTTGAACGATATGTCGATAAATGACTCAAGTTTTGCATCCCAAGATGTTGATAAAGAAGTGTCACCTAACAGTCCCGATGCTATGGCAACATCTGATGTTGAAGGACATGACAGTGAATTTATATGGTACCAGGCACCTGTTTCTGTGAGAGGCTTCAGAGACAAGCGTGCCAGTGCTAAAATGTCCTCATGTATGGATATTTGGGCATGAGTGAGTTTTACGAATTCCACCACACAAATATTATGTGTTTGTAACTTATTAGCATAAGGCTTTTGAAGCAAAGGTTTTCTGTATAAATGTGATATTATGTCACCACCAGAAGTGGTGATGACAGTGTGAATCATTATTGACCGATATTAGATACCATAAATTCTTGTAAAAAGACCATGGACACTTAATTTATTAAATGAATGAATTCGAAGCCCCAGTCACTTAAATTTCATCTAATAATAACAAGTAATGGCCCTAACTTCAAATTAACCAATGAAATAAACGTGTTGATACGATCCATTGATAATTAATGCTGAGGCATTTTTATGAGAGAATCAGTTTTATTTTATGAATACTGGCCCATGCTCCCACATCCTTCACTGCTTATTGCTTATATGCTGGGCTCACTCCTTTTTATTTAATGGTTATTTTAGTTTAGAACTCTAATCTTTATAAAGGGTCCTCTAGCGTGTTGAAATATTGTGCTCTATTTCATCATTTTGTGTGATGTTAGTGCTTTGTATTCTTAAGCTCTGGAACTACTTTATTCATCTTTAATTTGACAAATTTTTAATTTGGCAACTTTTGGGTTTGCCCCTATATGCTATATTTAATTTGGCAGTTTTTCAAGTGTCCCTGACATCCTCCTGTCTTCCCAATTCAAGATACTTATAATTCACCAAAACGACAAATGTAGTTGCAAATTTTTCAAGCTGAAATGTTAACGGAAAACACTAGTGCACAGGATGGTAGGTAAAATTCGATTCAATATTTATCAACTTCAATTTCAGCTAAACCATGATTGTAAAAACTCAAATCTCAAACATCTCTGAAATTGGGAGAAATTCAAAGAAAATACTGTATTTGTCTTTAATTTGGGGAACATTCGGTGAATAGAAAAAATCGCCAAATTTTGCTTGGTTTAGCTGAAATCAAAGGTATATCAGTATTGAACAATTTTTTATCCACCATATTGGTTGACAAAAAAGCAGATGACACTTACTCCAGTAAGTATCATCGTGCTGTGGGCTAGTGAAAAAAGAAGTCTATTGGTGGTTCAAAGTTACAGATTATTTTTATTAAAGAATTTGGTGTATTTCCAGATTCCAGTATTATATTAAAAAAAGAAAATATATTTATACTTGTATACATTATATTTGAATTCACTTGGAAGTAGATACATTTACAATATTTGCCAAATTGTTAATCTTAGTACCGATAAATGAGAACCATTAGTACATTGTAATATTGCAAGTCTGAAAAATTAAGTAGCTACCAAATGTTCAAAACAGCAAATCGACCAAAATAAGTAGTACCAAATTAAAGGGGCAACAAAGACTGTAGAGAGAAAATTTGAAAATTTTTATTTTTCTGAGCTATCAGGTCAATATTTGGCTTAACATCTTCTTTGACATACCTATTTTCTTAAAATGTATGGATAAACTATCAATTTCAGCATTTAGAAGTCTAAATTCAGTTCAAAGCTTCTATAAAGGGAGTCCCACTTATAGATTTTTAAGTTCTACCACGTTTCAAGAGGAATATCAGCTGAAATAATGTTTATCCAGGGGTTCTTTGTAGAAAATAAAGATATTTGTTAGTCTTGATGAAATATCCAAACTTAAATATATTTTGGCACTGGTCAATGATTGTTGCACCTTTAAGTAGAAGTACATTGCCTTTTACTGAATGATATAAGCAGCAGTTTGATTAAAGTCACTGTCTAAATTATTATGTCAAACAAATGGATGGTTAATATCTTCTGCTACCCTTTGATGTCATGGCACAATGGGCACTGCAGTTTATAATATACATCTATACAAAATATGAGCTATAGAATAAAATATTTACAAAATAAATATGTCAATTGTTGTAAAATACAGGTTGGTAAAAGGTAATAAGCATATGTGTTTGATGTATCATTCACTTTGGCATTTGATTTCTCTTTGAAGAGGTCTAGAAAAGGTTTTAAGGAAATTATCCAGTTTTGACAATAATGAATCAAAAACTTTTAAAACTTTCAATAGATGTCGTTATAGATTGATTGACAAAAACCTGAAAGTGAGACTAAAAAGTTAATACCAGATTATAAAGATGGCAGTAGTAAACATCGAAACATGTGATTTAAAAATCTATTGAAAATAGATAGGTGGCTTTAAATTGAATTGTACAAACTCTTGAAAATATCTGAGTTATTAATTTGATACATAAAACTTTTTCACAATTCTGTTACAACTTAATCGCTTTATAAACAAGAATGCTATGGAAAGTTATATGATTTGATGTTTTGACTTTTCAACATTATCCAGATATTTTCCTCAAACTTTATAATAAAAAGGCATTTTCTCAATTTACATGTCCTGCTCATAAAATGTTCAGAGGTATTGACATTCTTAATTATACATATTATAGGAAATAATTGGAAAATGAAGAATCACTGGAATGAGTACAGGACTGCAATATGAACTCAATCGGATTAACATGTTAAGTAAAATGACATCCCGGTGTAAAAGGGTAGGAGGTCCTATCAAATTATGGTCCTACTCTCCATTGATTTATATGGTGATCTAAATACAACTCTTTCCCTTATTATCTTATACGCAATCAGGTCCATTAAGAAAGGGGACCATAATCCCCGGGGGACCATAATTTATTTTACACCGGGAATGACATTAATGGTGGAAATAGCTAAGACTGAATAATGTGTTATGAAATATTAATCACCGGGGGAGGGGTGCATTGAATACACAAGAACACCCCCAATGAAATTATCAATGTGATCTATATGGTTTAAATAATGTATTTTCAATTTTTTCTACTTATGATTCATTCTAAATCCAAAGAATCTACATTTCTGGACATTTTTCATATAATTTCTCATTTTTCGATCAGATCTTGTGTTACAAACTCAGAATAACATTAAACTTTGAGATACGTACATTATTTTTCCCCAGAAACATATTCTCATTTCATTTTTTTTATTTATCATTGTTCTCATATTCGCCTTTATTTGTCTGTTTACTGTTCGAAATACAACTTTTACGAACCAACTGTATTATCCACGCTCAACGAGTTAGTATGGGACAAGAACAAGGCCATGCATGATAAGTTATAAACTGAAATCGTATTCCGTGTGATTCCAATGACAAATGAGATCTCATAAAGTGAACATAGGTACTAGCAGATGAAATAAAACTCCCAAACAAGACCCATTTTCTAGATCAGGATTTTATTTAATTGACTTTCCCGTTTAAAAACTGATAAATGCTTTGTCTTACACTCCCCTCCATAAGTTCTGTGACCGGAAGTCACTTTTGGATCACTTATTAAATCCTGTTTTTGGTAGGCGATTTTAAAACCAAATTATATTCTGTGTCATATTGTTCTTCATGAATATTATATTAACCTATTTTAATGAGTTCATATGAGATCACAATAGTGGTCCAAGCCATTGTTATTAAGGAACAAAAGTGGGATCCACATTTAAGGGGTTTGATACGCTATTTGATAAAAAAGCTTCAGGTTGCCAAACTTATGGAGGGGAGTGTACAGCTATGTTAACTGTTACCTTTAGCCCTCCAGAAAAACGATAAACTTATGATGGAATTATTGATAGATTTGCAATGAATATAACGAGAAAACTGCTGTTTCATCAGCAATTGGCTCTAGTTTGAAAGCTCTTTCTGGTATTGCCAATGGGCATTTAAATGGGTAGGTCTTATGCGAGAATCTCCCGGTATTATAGGTTTCCAACTCTAATCGTCTCATTCAAAAATGTCAGTTTCTTATCTTTTCACATTGTGTTCCTTATGTCTTGGATGTCAGTCTTAACAGTAGTTCATTTACAACAATAATAGAGTCGCCAGGGTACATATTCCTGGGAACAATTGCAAGGTCTTCTGGTGAGCGTATGTTGGGTCACCAAAAATAATGTCGAAACAAAAGAAGCAAAAATGAATAAATAAAGCAAGTATCCTGTTTTTGCACATTTGTTGTTGGCATACGAGAATAGTTTAAGAATACAAAATAAATATTTTAAAGTTTAAAGAGAAATACCATGGACTCCTAATAGTATGTAGTAGTATAAGCAAGGGGGTTTCTGATTGAAGGGCCTTCTGTACAAATGTACACAGTGGGAAGATGTTTATACTTTGCCACATTCTATGTCTTATTTTGATGCTTCTCTGCATGATATATGGCTAGTCACTGTTGGCCTATTAACTAGTAAATGCCCAATGTGACTCAAACAAGGCTTCTTTACAAGAACCATTTGTTGAAACAGTTGCATCTTGTTTTGTCCAGAAAATCAAAATCAGGCACTTTAAAGATGTTATAGTATCCTGTCGGTGTGGGGAGTATTATTGTACTACACTACCCTAAAAAAGTTTGGAAATCCTGCATTGTTGTACTACACCGCATATACAATCGTTTTCGGAATCCTGCATTGTTGTACTATACTCTCTTGCAAAAGTTTGGAATCCCGCATTGTTGCACTACACTCCCTTGCAAAAGTTTGGAAACCCTGCATTGTTGTACTACACTCCCCCGCAAAAGTTTGGAAACACTGCATTGTTGTACTACACTCCCCTGCAAAAGTTTGGAAATCCTGCATTGTTGTACTACACTCCCCTTCAAAAGTTTGGAAATCCTGCATTGTAATACACTCTCCTGCAAAAATTTGGAAATCCTGCATTATCGTACTACACTCCCTTGCAAAAGTTTGGGAATCCTACATTGTTGTACTACACTACACCAGCAGGGCTAGGGTACTCGACGACCAGCGTCCGTATCAAATGGCACGTTGTGACATTTTACGGTTAATGAATTATATGTAGTTTTATCTAATAACTCTACTCGAAAATCGGTTTACTGTTGAAAATCAAATAGAAGGATAATGTTTGTTTTGAGAAGTAATATACAAATATTTCATCTATATTAGCATCCTTTTATCTGGTAATGCAATGTCTTGACATTCTTATGATTTAAAGGGAAAGTAAAGAAATGAATCTAAAGATGACAAGCCATTTGTATCATGTAATAGAAATTCTTACTGAATATGTTAATTTGAATAAAAATACATCTCATGTTTTTCATGCATAGACACCATTACTTTTCTGGTCTTTTCGCTCTCTTTGCTCATTTAAGCTTTACACCTTTCTGATTTCCCATCTTCCACAATTTGTCAGCCGCCATTTTGAATCCCCATAGGACCCCTTAATTACTCCTGAAGGCCCCATAGATAGGCATGAATTACTACTGCTCAATAAAATGAATTGTGAGGCTAATGTAATTGAACATAACTATGATTAAGATATAATTATTTGAAAGGGGCATAAGCCTACCGGATAAAAGATAATCAAATTGTCGAGATTAAAGACAGGATGAGATTTTCTTAATTCTACAAAATTACTCCGACTTTTTGTGCGTGTTTTCTTACCCAGAATAATGTACAGTAAAACCTATCTTGTTTGTACACATACTATATGTGCTACTATACTATGTGCA